GGGAACATCTATACACATGGTATGAAAAATATCCTCCATAATTTGCATTGTAACTTCTGGAATTAGTTTTACATACCATCTTCTCTAAAGTAAGGGAGCTGTACATGATTTTTGCAGATGTAAAAATTAAATTTAGAATGCCTGCATTATCCCACTAATGGGAAAGTTATTGAAACAAGGTGGGGGAAACCAGTGGCCCTCTTACAGAGAAGGGGAACCTTCTGAATATGTACTTACTTTCTCCACCATTCACCCAGTGACACTCTACGGAAGGGTGCGTAAATAGCATTACAGGAGATTAGATCTAATCCTCGTCAGGGAAGATTGCTGTCTTGGAAGTGATGCTGTGTAATTGCTGTGATTGGTAAAAGTGCAGGAAAAATTCTGGAGGCCAATATTTTTGAAGCTCTTGGAAATTTTTTATAGATTTTCTTTGGAATTTTGTTGGATTTTAGAATTAAGAAATAATATGTTTTAATGTATGTCTCGGTGTTAAAAGGTCATGTTAACTCTAAAGCATACTATTATATTTGATACACAAATTTCTAAACTTTGCAGAAAAACCTGTTGTTCAAAATCTGCTACATGCCTTCTGCCATCTGATTGATAGTTTTGAGCAAGTAAAGGGCCTTTTAGTATAATTCTGAAAATGTCTCTATTCAGTAACGTGAGTTTTTGCTGTGAAATCTTTACAAATTAAATGCAAGAATAACTTTCATATTGTTAGTAATATTACAAGATTAATAATTACTGGACTGAAGCAACTTAAGATATACCTGATTATCCATACATGTTTTAATCATGTTAAAAATGTATCAAATATGATACATCAGGCAAGTCTTTACTTCTCAATCACTGTATTGCATTGCATTGATTTGCCCCATGCAATAAAACTACAGAGCATTTATCATAAAACTAAGCATTTAAATATCATCTTACTAAAACATATTATTGGGAGGTATGGAGTGACAATTGATATTTATATGCTATTTATGTAAGTAGTCTGCTATACTATTAAAAGGTTCCAATTGATTTACATTTTACATTACAAGCTATCAGAAATTTGTCTTGTTTTTTTTGTTTTTTTTACCATATAAATATCAGCAATTTTTGCTCAGTTTGTGCCTATGAAAAAAACTGAGGTGTTTTTTTT